ATCTATTTGCTCCCAAACGAAGACCGAAAACGAACTTCGTTTGAAGTATATCGGGGCCTGTACACAGCTGAAATACAAGAATTTTACAGGTAAGGAGCACTTAGTTCTTATTCACTGCTCAAACTTTTCTTTTATTCAGCAAGGACACATTAAACTGATCAAACATGACAGTAAGGACATTTCTGATGTTACAAAAGATTTCTATTTCAAATCAATGCTGTTCTTTTGAACTTTCTATTCATCAAAGAATCCTGAAAAAAGTACCATACATTTAAATTGTAATAATATTTCACAATACTACTGTTTTCACTGTGTTTTTGATCAAATAATTGCAGCCTTGATGGGCATGAGAGACTTATTTCTAAAACATTTATAAAATCTTGCCAAACCCAAACTTTTGAACGGTAGTATATTTCAAATATATTGCAAATTATTTCATATTCAGAAGAGGGAATGTTTCAAATACTGTAAGTATATGCTTTATTATGTCTTTATTAAAACATAACAACTAACTAATGGTGAAGTGTGTAATTTCTGCACCACTAGTGGCACCATACATAATTGCAAAATAATGACAGAATTGTTAAAGGAATGATTTCCTAAAAATAATGACGATTCGTTAATGCAATCGTTCAGGAATGGGAATCATTAAAGCTGATGTGTGTAATTTCTGTGCCATCAGCAACAAAAAATAATGATTGATCTGCCTTGCAGTTGTTCTTTGCAAGGTAAAACATACACTAGATTTTTGCTAAAAATTCTCCCTGGATAAAGGTAGTGATTTATATGGCTGATAGTAGGGATGCACCGATACCGAGCTCCTGTACTCGTACTCGTTAAAATGCCCCGATACCAAACGCCGATACCACACAGCATGTGATAAGTGCCATATTCAGACAAAGAAATACCGACAACAGACAGCAGAATGGGGTTATTAGAGATTAAAGATGTCTACGAAGTATATGTATGCAATAAATATATAAAACATTCAGTATTAATGCCTGTATAGCTGATGTGAGCGAGCTGATAAACAAAGCACGCTGAGTGGATTGAGCGCGCGGCGGCGCAGATGCGCAAGCTTGTCGAGTGAATATACCTTTCTCACAGACATCACTGGAAACTTTGTAGTTCGGTCGGATATGTCAAAAACAAGTAAGTAAAACAACGCACAAGTTACTTAATGGTAGGGAGAGAGAGAGAGAGAGAGAGAGAGCCCGCGCAATTCTGTTGTGTGATCTTTGATGTTCACTCACATAGCACACGCATCATTTGGATTAAAACTAAATCGTAAAAATAAGACCATTTATAGGGGCATTCACTATAAACATCATTTATTTGCATGGTCATAGCAGATTGCTTTGGTTGTCAAAACACAGTCCAGTAAAATGGCTTACCTGAAGGGTTTCTCTCGTTACATATGCTATCTGTGATTCTGTTAGTGGCCCAGTAACTGTGGAGACATACAGTATTTAGTGTACATTAGCAGTAATATAATAAAAATCCCATTCATGAAAATCCCATTCATATTAGAATATTAGCTAAACAGCTTGAATGTAATGGAGCTGTCTACAATATAAAAGTGTGAATACATCAGTTGAAAAACGTATATATATATATATATATATATATATATATATATATATATACACACACATACACATAAAATATTTAGTAGTTGAATATATATAATAAATTATAGGCATAAATAACTTCAGCACATTCGGTTTAAGCTTAAACTTGTTTAAATCAAGAGAACACATATAACATTGATACTTCCCATGCCATATTGTAAAGAAAGTTTAACAAAAGCACTACTAATGGGTTTTACCCAGCAGAACAAGGACTAGATGATCAAGAACGCAAGGAACTATGTAACTGATTGCATGTCCAACCTGACAAAATATAGAGCTGAATTATTCTAAATGGACTACTGATGAAAAAACAGACTTGAAACTTTACTAAAGAAAACTCAAAAGCTGTCTGAGAGGGTCTGAGAAACTCATTTGTCTGTTCTCCGAAATGATGCAGGATGTTTGACGGTTCGAAGCCTCTGACACTTCAGCAGAGCAGCTAATCTTCTTTAAGTCAATAGAGACTTTTATTGCTGATTAAAATGTCACAAAAACAGAAAATGTGCTAATGGGAAGGAGTGAATAATAAATGGGCTGAAGGAAGAGAGAGGAAGAGACAGGCTTAAATGATGAAATGGTGTCCACAACCCATTTTACTTTTGAAATTCGATGCATTTCCAATGGGTTGAAAAATAAGAGGGCGTGGTGATGTCATCTGAAAAGGAAAGTTGTTTCTGTGCAAGTTTGTTTTTAAAAAAGCTTTTCTTAATACCGAGCATCAAATTGAATAAGAACATTTTTATTTTCATGTTAAGAAAAGATTTGAAGTGAATTACACTACTGTTCAAATGTTGGGGTTGGTAAGATTTTTTTTTATGTTTTTGAAAGAAGTCTCTTATGCTCACCAAGGCTGCATTTGTTTGATTACAAATACAGTAAAACTGTAATATTGTGAAATATTTTTTCAATTTAAAATAACTATTTTCTATTTTGTTGTATTTTAAATTGTAATTTATTCCAGTGATGGCAAAGCTGAATTTTCAACATCATTACTCCAGTCTTCAGTGTCACATGATCCTTTAGAAATTATTCTAATATGCTGATTTGCTGCTTAAGAAACATTTCTTATTATTATCAATGTTGAAAACAGTTGTGGTGCTTAATATTTTTGTAGAAACCATTCTTTAAAAAACATTTTTTCAGGATTCTTTAATGAATAGAAAGTTCAAAAGAACAGCTTTCATTTTAAACAGAAATCTTTTATAACATCATAACTGCCTTTACTGTGACTTTTGATTAATTTAATGCATCTTTTGCTTTATAAAAGTACTAATTTCTTCCAAAAAAAACAAAACATTCTGACCCCAAACTTTTGAGCAATAGTGTATTCCAAAAATACATATTTGACATATGTAAAGAAAGTATTTAAGACTTTTTTTTTTTTTACAATGTATTTTTTTTTTCTATTTACATCCACACAGCTGTAGAGGCTTTCATCCATTCAGCAGAAATTTCCAGTATGTCCACTGTTGCACCTCACAATCTTTTTTCCTGATCATTTACTAGTTCAGAGAGTTATTTAGAGTTAAAGCCGGCAAAACTTTGTTCATGTCTCTCTTGTGTCTTTCTCTATCTGTCGTGTGTGGGAGGACTGCAGTCGGTCAGCCTCGGCTCTAATCAGGCCTTCGACCCTGTAGCTGAGTGCAGCCGTGTCAGCAGGGGGTTGATAACGTGGGATGTGGGGCTGGGCACTAAGCTAATATGTTAGCGTCGTAACACCATCTACCCCCAAAAGCACAACCCCCACCCCGCGCAGAGGCTCAGAGAGAACCGCAGAACTGCCGACAGCTGCCGTGAAAATGAGCTCTAATGATCTGACAGGGCCACTCTACTGAGCTCTGCTAAATTTATCTCCTGGGAACATACAGAGGGACACTTTCCAACAGCGTAAGAAACGATTTGTATATTTAGGCCATCTGTCAAGAATCAAATTGTTAATTGGAAGAGAGGAAAGCCTATTTATGTAAAAGTTGGCATCGGAACTTCTTTCAAAGCATTATGTGATTATTTACTCACCGTTATGTCATTTCAGACTTTCTTTCTTACATGGAACACAAGGAGACATTCTGAACAGTTTGTTATTTGACTCCAAAGGTCATATGGATCACTTTTGGAAGTTCGAAAGCCTCATGGAAAAGAATTGCATTGAAAGACAATTGACTAATAAAATTCTTAAAAATGAATTATTTTGTGTTTTACAAAAGAAATATACTCATAAGGTGTTGAACAACATAAGGATGAATAAATGATCATAGAATTTTCATTTCTGGGTGAACTATTCCTTTAAATAATGAATGGAAAGGAGATATTGCATTGCATTGAAATACTGTCCACTGAGTGAGTTGGAGTTAGTGTTGCAGTTGATTGTTTACCTTTATATGGTGTATCTTACCGTGATATATGTCTTGCAATGAACCTCCCCCACAGTATTCCATACATATCCATAATTTATCCCTCCTGAAAAGCCAGAGAAAGAAAAACACCAACAAATTATATTTCAATCGATGCATCTCGAAATAGTCCCCTGGCAGCCCCACAGGGAGAGTGAAAGGATGCACACTTTTCTGGGTCATGACTCATGACACAGCAAGCTGGAGACAGAGTCATAAGTCACAAGCAACCTGCTTTTATCAAAAACAGCCTTCTCAATTTCTGTAAGGTGCCTTGCACTAATGTCTAGACTAATATTAAAGAGATATACTGCTGACCAAAGACAAACCACACTAGAGTTGCCTATAGCTATGAGGAAGACCAGAATAATATTCTTTGATACTAGGAAATTTAAGTGAAGTTTTAGACGCTAGATGCTATTAGATCCAAACTTCAAAACAAATAATAA